CACTTCTACTATATTCAGTGATAATGGTTGGAGTTCATTAGGTATGTCCAGTGAAAGAGCTTGTAATGTATTGTTGTCCTTTAGTAACTGCTCTATTACTCCATCAGGTAGAGGAGGAGAAGGAGCAAAAAGAACATGTACATGTATTGTTAATGATGTTATTGCTTTATTTCTTGTTACTCCTCTGATGATACTGATAATGGTACTTGTTATTTCATTCATTCCACCATATTCAATCTTCATTTCTTGTAGTGTTGAGTTCATTTCTATACATTTCTCAAGTTCAGTGCCCTTGTCTGTGTAGCATGTATTGTCAACTGTTGGTAAAGTAGAATAGTCTATTTTTAAGTGCAGAATCTTCAATTGAGGAAGATTGAAGAACAGTAACAAGTCAAGACAAGGTACATGTACATATTGACCTTTGTATCCTAATACACAGTAGCACTCCTGAATATTGTATAGAAGTGATGGTTGTAATAATTTGTGTATTAATTCATCAGTGGGTTCATGCAACTCTGCCTCCAGTCTCTTACACTGGGTCTGTAGTGAGTTATTGGTTAGTCCAGCAGTGAAGACTGATACTTTCTGATTATCATATACATCCCGCAGGTGCAAGTGATTCCATGTTGTGTTGGAATTGTTTATGCAATAACTGAGACACAACCAGTCAAACAATGATACTCTTCTATTCAGACAAAGTGAGTAGTTGTTGATGGATTGTGCTAATACTTGACATAATGTTATGTTCTGTGATTCATACAGGAGTTGAAGAAGAAGAAGAAAGGGAACATTGTTGAAATCATAAAAACTGACATGATTCAACAACATTCTTTGTTTAATCTCAGGATTTCGATAGAAGTAGGAGAGATGACAAGTCTCTAATCCAAACAATGGTTCCCTCTTACACTGTAAGTCAAGTTGTTGTCTATTAAAATACTGTTGATAGCTCTCATGTTCAAGGTGAGTTAGACCTGCCACAAACCTCAGACACATTCGAAAGTGATCATCATCAAAGTGATCCCTAAACACTTCCTCTGTCTTCTTCTCATGCTTAGCTATCCACCATGCAGCTAGAAATTCCTGTAAACTCAAGTGAAGGAATTGATACTTCTCCTCATCATATTCTATAAATGTTGTCATCAATCCAAGATAGTCTTCCTTGACTACCTCACTCAGTGACTGTAGTTGTTGTGAAGAGAATGTCATTGTTGTATTAGCCAGGTTAGTATAAGCGAATTGAGACATCTCTTGTAAAGGTTCAGCTAATTGTGATGGTAATGAAGAAAGACTACCTAAAGTACGTGGGTTATTGTCATGTCTTTTAACATGTCTTCTGATAGTTTGTAGGATAAAGATCTCATAGAGTTGAGTAAGTGTTGTTGGTAAGTGTCCTCCTTCCTTGCAATAAACTAAGATGACCATGGAACAGACTAATGGTACATAGCACAATGATTGGACATCATTTCGTACTTTAAGATCATTAATGAGTTTCACTGCTAGTTGTGAGTCCTTACTGCTTTGAGCAGTTGTGAAAAGCGACTTGTATTTTTTATTGCTTATTGATTTTATTTCTTCGTCTTGTTCAATGTTTTCATCAATGAGTTCTTGTGCTAGTTTTGCATCTTTTTGAAGTGTTTGTATAATTACTGTTGATATTTCTTCCTTAGAAAATCCAATGACCTGGACATGTCTACTGAGATTAGACATGATCTCTAAAAGTGAAGAGGAGACATAGCTACGAGAGGTAACAATTACTGAACATTGGTCTAACTGCTTTCTTTGAATGATACTAGCAGCTAATGAAGATTGTCTGTGTTGTTCACTTAGTTCATCCCAACCATCAAAAATTATCAGTAATCCTTCACCATCTCTATTTGACAGCCAATCAACTGCTTTAGAAATTTTAGAACTTTTATATTCAAACAGGTCAGCTAGTGTAGTTGCTGTAGCTATCTTGCTATTCCTTAAAGGACAATAAAGTACCAAGTCATACTGTTGATGTGGTAGTATTTCAATTGACCACATGTTTAACAGTTTACGACAGAGTGTTGTCTTGCCAATACCAGGAGGACCATCTAATACTACTCTGAGAGACAGAGAACTATCTGTGGGTTGGAGGACATCTTCAACACTTATCTCTTCATTTTTAGATAGTTCAACTGTTTCATCAACTTGTCCTCTTAGCAGATGCCAAGCCGATTCTGCTTGTGTGCTGGAATCTTGTTTTTCTACTAGTGCTAGTCTTCCAAAGAAATCTTTTCCAATTCTTGGTGGCCAGTCTGTAGCAACAATAGGTTGGTGTTTGTAGTGTTGTCTCATATTGTCAGCATATCTTTGAACATCATGAGGTATTGAACTAATGGATGTGACATTACCAGGTATAGACTGACCTAATGTAATGATATATAATGACAACCTTATAGCGGGTAATTGTGGAGGGACTAAAATTTCGTGAATTGCTAAATTTTGGTGATTGGCAAATTTTAATTTGGTGAATTTGTGGCCCAATATGGCAGATTTTGTTTTGGTGAATGGCTATCGAAATGCCACATTCACCAAATTCAATTCCCTCCAAATTTCCCGCTATACAGTGTATTGATCACTGACAATGCACACACACACACACACTCACCTAACTGGTGTAATATAGAGGTAAGAATATCTGTTAATGTACAATCCTGTTGGGTTGTTAATACATAACATATTTCAGTTAGATACTGCCCTGGATTAAGAGAGGATTCCAACTGTTGTTGTAATACAGACATTAATTTTCCAGATTTCACAACATCAGAAGAAGCTGCTGTTTGAATATGATTAACAGTTTCCATTGGTATTAGTCCTTTAGCATACAGTCCATTTGTTACTCTGTAGAGATTATTAGTAATAGCATCAACAAGAGTAGCATAATTCATCCTTAATATAGCACTAGGAGTGTTACCTGCAGCAGTGTATCAGTTAATGAGTGTTGTATTAAGTGTATGTTTACCTGATGTCATAGTAACAGGTTTATTAATTACAGAAATTGACGATGATACAGTAGATACTACTGGTACAGTACTAGTAAGAGCATCAGTATTACCTGTTTAATATAATTATTAATATATAAATACATGATCATACCTCCTGTACATTGATGTACTTCTAACTGATCATTAATAGTTTGTAATAAATCAATCTCTTCTGTTTTAGTCAATGCATTGAGTACATCTCTCCATGTTGCTGTAGGATGTGTATTTAACCATTTTGAAAATAAAGCTAGTTTTTGATGTTTAGCATCCACTTGTTCTATTACTGAAATTTCGTGTTGTGTTATTCCAGGTAAGAGAAGACCAAATGGTTTCCAGTCAACAAGTGGTTCAAGCCATTGAAGTAATAGGAAGATATCAGGTTCATCATCAATCATAGGACCAGGATTGAGTTCAACATCTCCTGATATGAGGAGTAGCATACGTAGACAAACAATCAAATAGAGATCATTGTATAATAGGTTAGAACTGCTGCCTCCAGGTAAGACTACTGACTGGAGGTAATTTGTATCAGTAACAGTACACCAGTAGT